AAACACAACCATGAAACACAACCATGAAACACAACCACTACAAGCATGAAACACAACCATGAAACACAACTACAACCACAACCATGAAACACAACCCCAAAACACAACCACGAAACACAACTATGAAACACAACCACAAAACCATGAAACACAGCCATGAAACACAACCACAAAACGCAGCCAATGCTCCCTGGAGGAGCAGCAGCTGCCAGGTCCCCAGTCCCACCTGGATCCGTGCTGATCCTGCGAGAACTCCATGATGTGGCCGGCGATCTCGCGCAGCTGCAGGTTGGGGTAGCGGTTGTTGCGGAAGTCCTCGAGCAGGCGGCTGCGGCCCGAGGGCATCACATCRGACATTCCGTAGCGCAGGCGGGACGATGGGAACAGGGTGCTGCTGGGGCTGAAGAGGCTGGAGGCGCTGCTGGCGCTGCGGTACTTGGCCTCRGCTCCCGGCGCCGCTGAGATGTAGCGGCCGCTGCCGTTCGTCAGCCCCCCTGYGAGGGAACGAGGCACAGGGCTGGTGGGGATGGGGATGGAGCCATGGCCTTGGATCCCCAACCTCTGCTCCCCCATCAGAGGGTCTGACACGCAGCCAGGAGGGATTTCTAGGGGGGTTTCCTCACTGGAAGGGCGGTGGGGCATTGAATTGTCCAGGGAGKTCTGSAGTCCCCATCCCTGGAGGRGTTCAATGGACATGTGGCACKCASTGCTCTGGGCTGGGTGACAWGGTGGGGACTGGCCCTTGATGACCCTGAAGGTCTTTTCCAACCTTAATGATGCTGTTTTATCATCACTGGAATTGTCCAGAGAGGTCTGGAGTCCCCAYCTCTGGAGGTGTTTAGGGAAYRACCAAGGGGCACTCYGAGCTKGTTAAGGYGGGGATCTGGCATAACTTGGACTTGATGACCCTGAAGGTCTTCTCCAATTTTARTGATGCTGTTTGATCATGTTCAGGCACTGCAACTGCCCAGGGAGGTTTGTTTGGAGTCCCCATCCCTGGAGGTGTTCAGGAATGACCACTGTCATGACCCAGTGTTCTGGTGGGGCTCAGTCACAGGCTGGACTCAATGACCCTGAAGGTCCTTTCCAACCTCAGTGACCCACTTTTGTGATTCCTGACAGAGCTGAGCTGCCCTATGAGGAATCTAGATGGGGACGTGTCCAAGCATCCCTGCACTGCTGGATCAGGGCAGAACAGCCACAGATGGCAGCAAAGGACCCTGGTGACCCTCCCAGCTCAGGATATTCTGYGATTCTGTCCAGTGCCATCAAACCTGTGACACACACTGGAACCCCTCCTGTCCCTCCCTCTGTGACCAAATTGCCTGAACCCGAGCAGTGCCAATCCCAACACTCCCAACTTCTGGCTTTTTTGCCATTTCCACTGCCTTTGCCTCCATCCTCAGGTCTTTTCCCASCTCTCCTGCTGCCCTGGCAAGGACTGAGTTAACAGAACCTTCTGGGGGTGGGGGACAGATATCAAAGTATCAAAAATCTGGATCTAAAACCCCAGATCACTATTAAATGCAGGTAAATACAAATCAATTAAATCAAGTTTTGAAAAGCCTGTGCTTTCACACATTCCCTAAACATCTTTACCCCCATTAAGAGATGCTGCGTTACCCAAAATCAGGAATATGGGATCGATGGCTCACCCCACAGTGAGCAGAGGGAAGATTTCACAGGAGTCAATGTAAACCTACAAATGCTGTTCCCCTGCCTGCAATTTCCCGGGATTTTTCCAGCACTGTAGCAGAGGATTGGATTTTCCCTCTCCTGCAGGGCTCGGGATCCCTCTGCTGGTCAGGAGGAGCCTGCACAGATTCTTCAGGGAGAAACAAATCCCGATCCCAGGGGAACCCACAGGACTGAGGGGAACCCCATGGGAATAAAGGAATTTAGGGAACCTGTGCCAGGGAGGGGAAACCTTCAAGGAAACCTCGGCTGCAGAGAGCAGCTCCTGGCAGCTGGGCTGGGATTGAAATATTCCATAAAAACAGAGCCGAGGGAGCTGCACTCCTCAGCCACAGCTGCTCTGGGAATTCCATCCCAGCCCCTCCCCACCCTCCCAGGGAACAATCCCTTCCCAATATCCCATCCATCCCTGCCCTCTGGCACTGGGAAGCCATTCCCTGTGTCCTGTCCCTCCAGCCCTTGGCCCCAGTCCCTCTCCAGCTSTCCTGGAGCCCCTTTAGGCCCCAAAAGGGGCTTTGAGGTGTCCTTGGAGCCGTTTGGGAATTTTGCACAGGCTCTGCTAGGTGGGACAGCAGGTGACAGGGGACAAAGTGAAACACCTGCAATCAAATAACCCCAGCTGTAGCTCCTCCCCTGTCGGTGGCTGCTCCACAGGCTCAGGTCAGGTTGAGCACAGAGGAAATTTCTCAACAGCAATCCCTGGATGGATCTCAGTGAGGGCAAGTTTGTCATCATCGCCAGCGGAGCACCAGGGCTGGGGACACCACGGATACAGTGGGGACAGAGCGGGGACACAGTGGGGACACAGCAGTCACCTGTGGGGGACAGGGCTCACCTGGGAGACCAGGAGGGGACAGAACTCACATGGGTGACCCTGGAGGGACAGAACTCTGGGCTCTGAGCTCTCCCTGGAGCTTCTATTCCCCATTAAAACTGATTTTAACAACGAATTAAACCAGACCTGCCCTTCCCACTGCCCTCCTCTGCAGGTGAAAGAGATACCCCACAAAAATAAAACTACTTCACAAATTTTGAGGTCAACCCCCCACCCCGGATCACAGCTATGCCAGGTGAGATCTGATTTGCAGCATCACCCAGCATGGAATCAGCCATAGAAGGGAATATTTGGGGAAAATGGGAAGCCCCACATGGCCCTTTCAAAGCACAACCCATTGCTGGCAGTGCTACCTCCCATTTCCTTCCAGAGTTTGCTCCCAAACAGATCCACCTCCCTCTCATCTTTCAGTTTTTAAGATTAAATTAAAAATCTTTAAGTTTAAGATTAAGATTAATTTTAAGATTCTTTTGTTTGCTGCAGGGRCAAACCATTTTTCCGCAGTGACAGGTTTGGAACCTGCCTCCTCCTCTGCACTGATTTATTGTGGCTGTTTACCCGTCAGCCAAGGGCTCACAGCTGCATAAATAAAGTTCAAACCCTTCCAAATCTACTGGAGCTCTGAAAATTCAAACCCTTCCAGATCTACTCAAGGTCTGAAAATTCAAACCCTTCCAGATCTATTCAAAGTCTGAAAATTCAAACCATTCCAGATCTATTGGAGCTCGAAAAATTCAAACCCTTCCAGATCCATTCAAGGTCTGAAAATTCAAACTCTTCCAGATCTATTGGAGCTCTGAAAATTCAAACATTCCAGATTTACTGGAGCTCTGAAAATTCAAACCCTTTCAGATCTACTGGAGCCCTAAACAGCAGTAAATCCAAACCCCATCTCCAAAAGTCCTATTTACGGCTATTCCAGCTAAGCCAGAGGCAGCAATTAATTTATCACACATGTAATAAATGTGATAAACATGGAGTCTGTCGAAGGGAAGGAACTGCTCGGAGAAGAAAAGGTTTTGCTCAGCCCAGCAGACTCRCAACACAACCAAAACCCAGCAATTTTTTAGGAGGAAATATTAAATTACCTGCTGCAGGTGCCACAAATAATCTGGTTTGTTTAGGAGGAAATGAACACTTCAGGAGGTTCAGATGGGGATGGCTGTGTTATTTAATATTTGCTTTCTTTATTTCTGAGATTTATTTCAGTGTGGGCCAGGCAGAGGCTCTTTGAGAAGATTCAGCTGCACAAAGTCATGGATTTTCCCTAAATTATTTCTGCTGCGCTTTTGATAAGGCCACACTGATGGGAAATTTTCCAAGGCAAACTCACCAAATCCTCAGCTCAAAGCTGAGCGCTGATCCAGAAAACATTAGTTAAAAGGAGGAGCTGCATTCCAAGTTCATTATTCCCAATTAAACAGGTATTTTATAAAGGGTATTTTATTCATAATCTTATTTATAAATAAATATTTATAATTTCACATATAAAGAGTATCTTATTTATAACTTTATTTATAAAGGGTATTTTATTTATWATTTTATTTATAAATAATCTTTATAATTATAYTTATAAAGGGTATTTTATTTATAAATACTTATAATTTTATTTATAATTTGTTTATAAATGTTATTTCATTTATAAATAAATATTTATAATTTTATTTATAAAGGGTATTTTATTTACAAATATGTATAATTTAATTTATAATTTTATTTCTAAAGGGTATTTTAAAACCTCCCCTTCAAAACTGTTTAAATTGAAGGATCAGCTCTCCTGATCTATTTCATTCAACAAACCACTGCTGCTGTTACCAAGACCTGTGCAATTAAAACCTGATTTTCCAACACTTTGGAATATGATCCTGAATTTCCAGCTGAGGAAGCAAAGAGGAAAGACAGAAACCTCAGGTTCCCAACTGCTGCAGGAGATGAACACACCACGATTTCCAAGGTCTTTTCCCACCTCACTGACCCTGTGATCCCACCCAGCCCATGCCCCAGCGCTGCCGCTATTCCGTGTGCAAAGCAGGGAATGAGGGATGCTCCAACAATTCCCAAAATCCCACCCATCCCTGCCCTCAGCCATTCCCTGTGTCCTGTCCCTCCAGCCCTTGGCCTCAGTCCCTCTCCAGCTCTCCTGAAGCCCCTTTAGGCCCTAAAAGGGGCTCTCAGCTCTCCCTGGAGCTTCTCTTCCCCATTAAAACTGATTTTATCACCAAATGACACCAGATCCGCAATTCCCACTGCAGGCAGAAGAGAAACCCCACAAAAATCAAACTGTCACAGATTTTGAGGTGAAACCCCCCCAAAGCAGAGCTGTCCCTGCAGCCCCTCTTACCCAGGTTGAGGCTGGAGGATGATCCGTGCGAGGACAGCGAGGGAGGAGGGGTCTGYGAGTGCCCGGGGCCCTGGCTGGGCAGGGGCATCCCCACGGGGCCGGGGGAYGATGAGAAGCCCAGGCCGTTGTAGAAGCTGTGCCCGATGGGGGTCAGGCTGCTCGAGGTCCTCTTGTACAGGTCACTGCTGCCTGTCAGTGAGTCCCGGCGAGAGCCGCTGCCCGTGGTGGAGTTGGCCACTGGGAAAACAGGAAAATGGGAAAATGGGATGATGGCAAGGAGCCCAACATGGGAAAATGGGATGATGGCAAGGAGCCCAACATGGGAAAATCGAGAAAATGGGAAAATAGGATGATGGCAATGGCCCCAACACGGGAAAATGGGATGATGGCAATGAGCCCAACATGGGAAAATTGGGAAAATGGGATGACGGCAAGGAGCCCGAAACAGGAAAATGAGGAGAGGCCAATGAGCTTGACAAAGGAATATCAGGAGATGGCAGTGAGCCAAAAATGGGAAAATTGGGAGATGCCCATGAGTCCAACACAGAAAATCAGGAGACACCAAGCAAGAAAATGAGGAGATGCCAAGGAGCCCAACACAGGAAAATGAGGAGATGCCAATAAGCTTGACACAGGATTATCAGGAGATGCCAATAAGCCCAACACAGAAAATCAGGAGATGCCAATGAGCTTGACACAGGAATATCAGGACATGTCAATAAGCCCAACACAGAAAATCAGGAGATAGCAAACAGGAAAATCAGGAAATGCCAATGAGCCTAAAACAGGAAAAAAACCCTGAAAACCACCAGAACATTTGGGTTTGATGCTGAAAGAAACCTGGGTCTCCAGCTGCCCAACAAMACCAAACCATGGATGGGAGGGTTCTCCCCAGCAGAGGGAGGGATTCTTTTGGGGTGAGATGGAACAATTCTCATATAAAGCAAGGAAACCACCTCAGAGCAGCTTTTTGGGGTCCCAAGAAAGCTCCTCAGCCTTGACTCTGAGGAGAGAGACAGCACAGGGGTGGAAACCCTCCAGAACCAATCACTGCCAGCCCAGGACTGCACAGCCAAGGATAAAACACCCAACAAGGGCTGACTRCTGCTGGGCATCACAAACCCTGTTAATTACTCCAACACTG